ACAGTGCTCGAATCTGCCAACATGCTCTGCAAGGTATACAGATGCCTTTTTCCTGGCCACCGTACTCTCCTGACCTGTCACCAATCGAGCATGTGTGGGATGTGATTGGACGCCGTTTGCAGACTCTGCCCCTGCTTCGTTCGAAAGTCGAACTGTGGCAAATGGTTGAAAGGGAATGGAGAGCCATCCCTCGGGACACCATCCGCACTCTTATTGACTATGTCTAGACGTGTTTCTTCGTGCATCGCTGCCCGCGGTGGTCGTACATCCTACTGAACCGACGTCGTTCTCGCTCTGTATTCTGACTATCATTTTGAAATAAAGATTACTTATTTGCTGCTTGCTGTCTGTCTTTTTCCCAAATTTCATCACTTTCTGACTACTTTTTCTTGGTGTTGCATTTTCAGTGTCGAGCAGTGTAACTCGCAGTAAAATTAGTCTGAACTCTAAAGTAAGCGATTTTCTTTTTTTTTTTAGAGACAATCCCCAAGCTCTATATCTCCCATATGAAATACAGGGTACAAGGACTTGTTTATAACTAATTGCGCTACTATGCGATTTAACACCAAAACTATTACATGCAATTCAATTCAGCCCACGCTGAAGTCTCTCACATTTATTCGAGATGTAGGAAATATGCTTTTTCCACTTTAATTTGTGTCCAACAAAACACCTAAATATATAATTTCATTCAACCACTCAAGGGAATCATTTAAAAGCAATTTATATCCTTCATAAGTAGTATTTTTTCCACCAATAAACATAGTCTTGGATTTTGCTTTCATGGTACAGTAAAGCAAAAATGATTTTGCTTTCATGGTACATTATCCCGATTAGTTAAAGTTTAACTTAAAATCTACTGACCACTAATAAATGAAATCAAAAACATCTTGGGCGAGATGAAAAGCTTTATGAATTTCTTTTCCTTTAACACAAATAAAAAATCATCTGCAAAACCAACGACTTCACAACTGAAGAAATCAGAAAGTTTATGTAAGAGATCACTCATAATAATAATCCAAAGCTTGGGACCGGAAACAGAGATTGTGGACATCCTCTCTGAGGTCGAACACTTGAGGTGCCACCCAAAGAAAGCTCCACCGTCCTGTCTTTCAGAAATTCAGAAACATCAATCACATTATGAGGTATTAATTTTTAGTAAATTAAGAATAGCACGCCACCATGCATTATCGAAAGCTCCTTCAGTATCAAGAAAAATTAAAATAGTGTACAAACCTCTCGTCTTGCCCCTCTGTACAATGTTGCTAAGACGCAGAAGTGCATCCTCAGTACATTTTTACATTTTTGAGCAATGAAACCATATTTTCTTTTGCATTTCTTTTCGTCATTTGCGAGCTGTTAAAATCATTCCCATTTCATTTATTCCCATAATTTTCGTAATCGGCCTCAAAATTAATTTTCTTCAAATTTAATTCGTGTAGTCTTTCAAAAGCACTCTGCATTATTTCCTTTCTTGGCACAGTATTGGATTTTTCAGTGTCTTTTGCGGCAATCCAAACAAGCGATTTTTTATGTCGTCTTCACAATCATTGCATAGAAAGTGTTCGATGCAAATTCTTGCGCTCTTCACATTAATAGAACACCGTCCTTGACACATGTATCCGCGTTTTTCAGAAAAAGCAAACTGCCCTTTTGAAAAATATGAAATACAATCAGTATCATTTCCATGATTTTTTATGACACTTTGCTACAACGCAAGAAGATACATTATATATATATAAACGATACTTTACAACAGTGGTCTCCACCTTTCAATGCACACGGGCCAATGCACAATTTAAAAGTAGCTGATGGGCAGAAATTACAAAAACAAAAAGAGGGGACGGAATTTTTTTAACAAAACGAAATTTGTTAAATTAAAAACTTGCAATTAGATATTTACACGAATATACGAATAAAAATAACGCAAAGAAATTTATCAAATTTATGCTTATAATTTGCTTGAAATCTAAAAGTTGGTATCTGCAAGCAATTTCTGTTGATCACAATTTGGAATTGAAACAGACATCTAAATATTAAAATTTTCAGACTGGTATTTATTCAAGTAATTGTAATATATTGAACTACTAAGTTACTTTTAAACTAAAAAGAAATATACGAAAGCTTCCCAAGAGGGACAAAAATAATGAGAATAAATAATGACAATCTAGTCTTATTTATTGGATTTGGTACTTTTCCGTTTCGTCGGCGAAAATCTCGCCAAGCAGACTTTATTGGCGACAACACACGGTATACACATAAAACATGTTAACAAATGTTAGTTCTAAGGATTTTTTATTTTGAAGGCAAAAACATTTTAATATCGTTTAAAATTTTGTAAAAAGGCAATAAACAACGACAATAAATTTGTAAAACGAAATTAATTTAAGAATTTACTATCCTTTCATGGTACAGTATCCTGATTCGCAGGTTCATATCACGTGACTCCAAGTGATCTCATCTCGCGTAAACTAATCTACAAAAATCTAATGCTCACATTAATTTCAAGTTATTAAATTTCAAGTTATCCAGTTATTGGTTCATTCTACTTTATTTCAAGTTGAATCTTAATATGGAATAAAAGTTTAAATGCAAGAATCATTTTTATTCGTACGAATAGATTACTCAAAAATTACGTAAAACGGCGGTGGTTTACTTCGCTAGTGCATTCGCATTACAATTGAGGAATTTAATTTACTATGCCTTTTCTGTATTTTCGCCTTCGGATGAGCGGTGTCATTGCATCCTAATTGACTTAACTACCGCGATTGGCCGTAGGGCATAAATTGAACTATCTGGCAAAAATTCTATGCAATTTTATGCCAGTATTGAAAGAAACAATCTGATCAGAAATGGTTGAGACTTGTTTTGAAAAATGAGGCGTAAAAGGTTACCAGCGAGGATATTCCGTTTGACATCGGTTGTACCATTTTCGGCGACTTCATCGCTTGCGCCGGCAAAACGGGAAAGTACCTTGGATTTTTGCGAAACGTTTTTTACTACCTTTCAGCTACACCACCTCATGACGTTCCGATTTTCATAAGGTTTGTAATCTCGGAGGGAAATTACTAAAAACTATCATGACAAATTGTAGATACTCATCGGCCTTTTTTGTAGACGTTTTCATCTACGAAAAAATTCTCATGTAAATGTACCCCAAAACAAAGCTAGTATTCTTACTGCAAAAATTCGTAACTTAAGATATTTATCTTTTGATTAGGATTAATAAAAGTTAATCAAACTTTTATCTTAAATCTTTGCACATTTACATCACAATGTAATAACTAGCTCTAGATTTTCCGAAGAGTTACATTCGTTTTTGTTAATGCATATAAAGTAAAATTGGATTCCAAACCTTAAAATCTTACTTTTCAAATTTTTGTTATAATTATGCCAATTTATGAGAAATTTATTCGCAGGCAAATAAAATTGCTTCGACGGCCGCCAGTTTGACTTTGACACTGCTTTACTAGAAAGCAATACATGCCATTAAAATTAATTTGGGATGCCCGCATTGCTAGTGTTAAGCAAGCGAATTCAGAGCAGATGCAACAGTGACGTCAGACTAAGCTCGTTCGAAATTTCAGATTGCTAGTCCAACTTCGAATTTAAAAATTATTCATATTACTATATGTGCATTTTAAAGCAGTTTCTTTCAAGGTAAGTAAGGGGGTAACAATTTACAAATAAAACACTGTTCGAGATAAAATTCCAGGAAGTGTTAAAAAGGACAAATAAGTGAGTATTCTGTGGCACTGGACGTTTCTCCTTCGAAACAAATATTCGAAGAGTTGAACATCACTCTTCAGTCTCCCTGCCCTCAAAGTTTCGATAAGCATTTAGGGCATATTATTTTATTGTTTCTCAAATTTCTTTTAACCCTTCGATTGCTATGGGCACATGTATGCTTCCAGCAAAAACCATCGGTGTGGCCTGTGGGCGCATATGCGAGTCCGACAGTGTAGCCAATGGACGTAATTGTGAGCTGGGCGAAGGCTTTGGCTGTTTACTGCTATCTCATGTGCACGTTCGCAAATTATTTCTATTGTATATATCCAACACTCGCAGAAATCTTATAACTCATTCGTTCATTTGGTCAATCATTCTGCGGCCGCATGCCGGTCCCGCGAAGCGCTTCAATTTACAGCAGTTAGGAGTTAAAATGTTAAAATCAGTAATGGGCTTCTATTGATAATGCGAAATTTCCAGATTTAAAGAGCATGCTAACAATAGAAGGGTTAGGTAGCAAGGTATATAGCGAAATTTAAAGAAATTGCCCTGAAAAAGGTAAAAACAACATTAGTTAAAATACATTTAATGGTTTAACCTGTGCTTTTACAAGTTTCCTTTAGAATTAGTACATGCCATGTAATACTCACATTAGTTTTCAAAAGAAAAATCAGGGGAAAAGCATTTGGTTGGCTTTATTTGATTATGGCAAACATGCGAGGCATATCTGCCTATGGGGAGAAACGCTTATACGGATGACAAAGGGAAACTGGCTCGTAACCACGTTACACATGCGGAAAGCAGGAAAAAGTCCATGCAGCCACCCCGTCGCCTGGAATCGAACCCAGGTAGAATTACCAATGTTCAGGTGGTAATGCTCGGCAACCACTGGTGGGCCAGAGAGAAAACAGGAACTATATCCTTAGGTTCTTGTGCAAAAGGTTTTCGGTTATTCCTTCGAACCCAGTTCCTCGTAATTCTTTTGCAAGCTGCTCCAGATTAATCTGATAGTACCTTAATTTTTTTTCGAGTAAGAGTTTTTGAATTTCTACATAAAAGTACGATCATGCTTCTGCTAACCTTAAAATGCACCGCACGGTTTTCCCACATTGTCGCCATTTTTAATTTGCAAAGAACAGCTCTCTTGGTTGACGTAAACATCTACATTAAACGCTCGAATTATTTTCACCATAAATCTCATTCCATTGGATGAAATCATTTTTCTATTTGTGTAACAAAGCCCTATTCCTGACATGATAAATATCACTTACCCTAAGAATATACTAAACACTGAGGGCATCTGTGGATTCTTAGTAAGCTTGTTAATGTCTCTCTTATGAACAGTGTCCGTCAACGCGTTCATTTTTACCTGGAATTAAAAAAAATAGTAATACAGTTACCAAATTTTTGAACGCTTTAGAAAACATGGCAGAAATTTTAAAGAGAGACCTTTATAATTGACTCAAGAAGCTTCACTACTTACACTTCGAGTAAACAAAGTTTATAAATTCACCGACGTAAAAAACGTAAAATCAATTCCAGCACGATTAAGATTTTTCCGAAATTTTTCCACGCATTACACCTGATGTATACGCTACATCTGTTCAGAAAACTCCATTTATTATCTCAGTTACTTCAAAATGGGGCACTCTTTGTTCGCTTTTGCAGTTTTGCAGATATGAATGCGGTTTAGCAGAATGCGTAACTCGCCTACATGTAAACGGCTGCTAATCACTCTGAAAGACCCTTCATTACATAGTTTAGTAACCTTGGTAAGATTCAAATTCCACGCAAGTAACTTTCAATAAAACGAAATTTATACTTCGTAATAAGCTTACAAGGAAAGTGTCACAACCCTACACTTGGTTTTTCTGAAAAATATGAATCTTCGCGTCTATAAATACATAAACATGAGTTTTTAATATTCTATAGATGAAGATTTAAAATATAAAACTGCCGAGAATCGGCACTATTTGGCAATATCCAAAATTTAAAAAATTCAGTTTGGAAAGTCACCATGGTGATCGATTCCTGATAACAAACGAAAAGGAATTTTAAACAGATGACAAGAAAAATATGTATTTTTGCTATCAACACAAGGTAACTTGGTTAAACACAGTTAAAACGAACTGATGAAAATTTAATCTCTGAAAAATTAGCTCAATGCAACAAATTTCGAAAATCAATTTACTATGAAAGTATCCCCTCGTACTGTAGTTATTTTAGCTCAATAAGGACAGTACACTTAAGAGGAGATACGTCGACTGTATATTGCACTTTTATTCCTTTACGCTTGGGAGTTTCGGTAGTTTGACCATGTAGTCAGCCCCTTTTCCGGAATTTGGACCCAGAAATAATCAGTGTATCTGTTTGGTTATCTTATCAAAGAGCAGGTCTTTGCAATGGATCCAGGACCACAAGTGCACGAAGTTTTTCATAAGCATTTTTTAAAATTTTTTAAGTGCATTTATTTTTAATCTTAGTATTTGCATGTCATTTATTCCTCAGTACCTTGTACACAGTGGTTTACATCAAGTCGATCATGGAAGCGCTCATAAAGATCATTCGCTCAAGTTTTTTGTTGTTGTTCAGTTTGGTTTATTATGGAAAAAGCACTCCAAGAAAACTGGCTCATATGCACGTTACACACGGAGAAAACCACGAAAATGCACATGCAGTTAGCCCGTTTAGTTGGAATTCAACACGTCTAACTACCAGTGTTCAGCGACTTCCCCGCTCGGCCGCAGGTGGACACATCATTTAAACGTAGGGGCGCCTTCGTGGAAAACACGCTAAGAAAACTTAAATCGTAAATTAGTTTCGGAAAAACACAAAAACGTCTCACAGACAATCCTTTTCCGCGGTCACTTTGGCCTTAAACTGGTAAACGCTACAAAATTTCGAACGGTACTCGGTAAGACTAATACACAGAGCTCAGCGTGTCTATCAATACAGTCATGAAACAATTAGGGAAAAATTGATATATGATACCGGGGATCCTTGGTGTCAAAGGACAATATGTTCCAATTTTTACAGAAAGCTATATGCTTCTGTTCTATTATATAAAATTTACTATTTGCAAACTATATAGTGTTAACAAAACAATTTAAAGTGTGCCATGCTAGTTCGTTCTTTGAAACTAAGAAATATATTTAAAGAAATTTTAATGCATTTGAAATTGTTTTTTTTGGTGGAAGTTGGAAAATAGACCTTGCTATAGAAAAGCGTTTGGTGTACATTTTCCTATAAAGAGAACGTGTGTATTTAATTATGGCAAAGCACACTAGGGCTATCTGCCTAAGGGGAGGGATGCCTTCGTGGAGGACTTACTAAGGGAAACTGGCTCGTATACACGTTACACATGGGGAAAACCACGAAAACACCCATGTAGCCAGCCTGTCCGCGGGATTCGAACCTCAGACCGAACTACCAGTGTTCAGCGACTTTACCGCTCGGCCGCTGGTGGGCCCTATAAAGAGAAAGATCCGACTATGATCACATATTACACGTGCAAATTTGCATGAAAAATGAAGTAATCGTTTCAGTAGAAATGTAAGAGTTAAAACTGTACTCAAGAAAAATTAAACAATGGAAATAAAAACCATATGCAATATTTTGTCACTTGCTTCTGTAGTTTTAATTTCCAAGTATTTCGGAATTTAATTTCCGGCATATCACTAATGGATATGGACAGAGTGAAAGGTAAATACATTTCTGTATTTAAATGAATGAGTTACATGTGCATACCTTTCCAAGTATTTCTTTAAAAACATCTTCTTCTGGCATGTTTTCTTCACCAATATATTTCCCAACAAGAGTAGTCATTTCCTTGCAGAATGATTGAAAATAACTGTCGTCTTTCAATTCTTCCGTATCTGAAGAAACAAAAATTATATTAAAAATGTTTATATTTAATATATTTGCAATCAACAATATTTATATCTATAAGGTTGTAGGGATTTATATTTATTTTAAATAACCAACTTTATTTAATTTGTTATTCTTTCCCATCATTCCCCTAATTGTCAATGCCAGAATATTTAAATTTGGTAGCTCGCGTGAAGGAATGCAAATTCTACCTTGAAGAAAGAGTTTAAAATCCGAGGTTTAGCAGGAAAGTTTTAGAGTTAGGCTATTGCCGTCACCTTTGCTGCGTAAGCGTCTGCTCCCAGAGTTATTACTAGTTCGTGTGGCTTAACTGCATTTACTTGCTGCCACTAGTCTCGAGGCAGGAATTAACCGAGCCCTATAGCTTATTTCTACGACTTGTGCATATCTTCAAATTTTTAATTTCGTTACGCGATTTCAGTTACCGTCCAAGAAAAGGCGTAGTGTGTTAGCGTCGAGATGATGCTTTGCAAATTTTAAAAAGATAATAAAGGGTAACTTTTAACCCTTCTCCTGTGTAGTTACTACTCTCAGTTCTCACACAGAAGTTAGACAAGTGAACTCTACAAGGTCAATTTCAAAAACATCGAACACTTAAGGAGGGAATCCTAATCCCTTTCCAAAAGATTAAAAATATTCTAAAAATATATTTTTTTGGGGGGGGCTCCTCCACTATTAGAAGTATTTATGAAATATGTCTCTCAGAAGAGAATACAACTGAACTACCGCACAAGCATCTCATAACTGAAATATGCTTTTTCAAAAACATTTTGATTCGGCAGCAAATGCAACTAAAAGTCGCAACTGGAAGGCAATTTGATGAATCGAAAGGATACTGTATTTGGCCTAAACGCATGCGAAAAAAGGAGTACAAATTGTGTAGCTGTCGAATTCAACTGCTCTCAGAAGCGGTCTTTTGCTTCACACGGCGTCACGAAGGTGGTTAAGTCTCATGTTCTCTCTGCCAACGTCAAGTAATTTTTGAAGTATTCCTAATTCATGATTTATATGGCATATCCACTGAAAACTTACGGAATCTTCAAAATTATTTCAGCTTTATTCTAAACGAGTTTCTGGAAAAATGTGATGCAGTCACATTCTTGCAATCTTTCTATTTTGCGCCAAATCAAAATCCTTTTTCCACCAATGGGCAACTACGGGTAACCGATTTCTCTAGTATTAGAAAATTAATGCATCGATACGAAGATGAAATCTAGTGCTTTTCTGGTTCCCGAGAGAAAAAAATGTTCGATTATGTCTGAAGAGAATTTATCAAAATAAACATTAATGAATGCAAGTACACCTAGCATAAATAAATGTTCATTTTAGGAACTAAAATTTACGCCGACTGCCTAGAACCGATTTTTTGCTGAATACCGACAACTCGCTTTGATTCGTCTAAGTTTCGAAAATATTTTTGAAATTATTCAGATTTTTCATCATAATATTAAACTGACAACGAAGCGACTTCCTTTTGCTCAGTGGAACCGATTTATTAAGTGGCTGTGTCTTCCATTTTTGTTACATAACGTGGGAAGGCAACACAAATCCTATGCACTCGACTGGAAATACAACCAAGATACTGAGCCATCACGGTCTCTAGAAATCAATAAAAGTAATGATCACTAAAACTGAAAATATTGCTAGAAATCAAAATACGAATGTGGAATCGCCATTTGATCTCTGGAAAGTCAAAAGCTGCGTGGTTATTTTGATGCTGTTTGTTAAAATATTTCATATTTTGTTTTTCTAAAATATTCCAATACCGCTATAAACTCAGACACTGCATACGCTGATTATCAAGTTTTGATTTTATTGAATACATTAAATTAAATTTGAAGTATTCCTAGAATGTTTTCCAAGTTATCTTAAGTGAAAGCGCCATACCTCTCGTTTCAAAGCAATATAAATGATGAAGTTTAGATGAAAGGGCTTTCCAACTGATGATACAAAACTAAATCTATTCCTCTTGTAAATTGTTGGTCATGTTGAGAAAGCAAAGCTAACATTTCAAACTGATACGGAGTGAACACTCGTCGAAAAAAAATTTAAACATTTTTTACAGCACGAGAATTTTGCCATGTGGTCTTCCTGTAAGGCTCGATAGAATTTTTTTTTCTACCTGCATTCTACCTTGTATAAATTATATACAATGATCTGCTTCTGGTTTCTTCCGAAACAAAGAATATATTATATATATTCAGAACAAAGAATAAAACTCCGTTAGTGAGAGAACTGAAGCATATCTGTTTTGTATGCCAATTCTGCACTTGATGACTTCCCCTACACAAAGCACGGAATGAGTAGACCTCATTTGCAAAGAAAGCGCTTCAACTTACTGAACAAGAACAAAGTGCACTTTTATCAATATTTCGCCTGAAAAAACATGACCGGTATACAGAAGCTTCATTAAACAGTTTGAATACAGGAGCAACAGAATGTATTAATATGTTTCCAAATACATCAAATTCGCGCAGCAGTAGTCCATCGCTGACCGAGTTCTTCATAGGAAACGGCCTTCTCATGGTTTACTTAAAATGCTTTGAGCGCAATATAACAGTGTGAAAGGAAGCGTTCCCGTGACCATTAGGCGTACAGCTGCCCAAATGTTAAATACTATCAAAAAAAAAAAAAAAAAAAAAAAAAACCGCGCAGTACGAATTCACCATGGACAAGCAGTTTTGTCCTGAATCATAGTCGTTATCACAACAGGTAAAATGCTCAACTACAATACAGTATGTACAACCACATCTCCTGGTCTTCCGAAATTGAGAATTCATATGTATTGTAGACTGATCCTGCAAATAGTGTTCAAATACATATTATTCGTGTACTCAATTTAGATTGCATAGCAAGTGTATACTTACAAACAGCAATGAAATTTATAATTGCAGCGATTTGTGAATTGAATGAATTGCAAATATGCAGGAGAAAAGTCATTTACTATTACACACTGCATTATTTGATAGTTTAAAATTACTAGAATCTTGCAGAGTTTAGAAGTACTATTGCAACATTCAGAAATGCGATATTTTTAATTATCAGCAACATAACTAGAACGATAACGAAAGAATTATTTTCTAGGATGCACGCAGAAAAAATCAAGCGTTTTATTTGCCAAAATCGGTGGCACCATCGCCAGTCTACAGAAATCGTAAAACAAATCAACATATCAAACTTAACAGGTTTGGCTTAATTATAGCAAAGCACTCGAAGGCTCTCAGCCTGAGGGAAGGGATGTTTTCGCGGAAGACGCTTTAACGGAAACTGGCTCACGTACACGTTACACTTTGTGAAAACTACGAAAATGCCCATGTAGCCAGTCCGTTGACCGGGATTCGAACTCCGGATCGAACAACCAGTGTTCAGCGACACAATTCAAAAATTACAAAGGATACCGTTGCACGGATATTTTCGTATCATTTTATGCGTGATATAAACAGGAGCCATCTTCCCTTCAAAAATTCTCATAAAGATCCCATTCCTTTAGGTTTAGAACCTTCACATGTTTTAATGCTAGATTCATAAGAAGCGAACTTATGTATGCAAGCTCTCAGCAATATCAAATGGAAATTTTAAATCATTTTTAAAAGTTTCTTTTTGTTACCCATATCTTTAAGTAAAATGAGAAATTTCGTTTGCTTAAAATTTATTTTTAAAGTTGAAATTAAAAAATCCATAAGAAACTTACAAGATTTGAGGTCGGCAAAACTCACGTATGTATCCGTATCTCGGAATTTTTCCTTTATTTCATTCCAGTCTTTACCCTGGTGAAAATTAAAAAATGATTAGAATTAGAAAACGAATTTAAAGATTTAAAGATCTATTGATAATAAAATGAAAAATTATCCCTTTAAATGAAATACAAGAGCTTGGCAAAAACTTATTTGAGAATTATAAATGTTTAAAACTCAAACTTTTCTTCCAGAAAATCAAGTCGTATAAAAAGGTTTAACGTAAATGAGTCCTCAACAATTTGGCAAAACTGATTTTCTAACATTTGAATCGCACTATGCATTCTCTACTTCAAATAAGTAACATGTGATTGAGCAAGAAAGCTTAGAGTTTCATTAGAATAAGAGTGGCAATAATTGATTAAATTCGTTTATGCATTTTCATTGTTCTACAGCAAATTACCTAGCTTTTCAGCGTATTCTCCTTTCGATTTAAATAATGACTATATTGATACTAACTTATAATGCTGCTTATAACATATATATTCTTGAAAGCTGAAATTACTTGTTTTATTTCTTTAGAAAGAAGTATTTAACAGTGTGTGTTCATAAGATGTCATAGTCGGTAACCATTTTAGTTTCATTATCCCGTTCTCAATCACTTGGGGATTTAATACACTCCTTTTCCTGCTATAGGACAAAATTATTTAAAATGATTGGTAATTTCATCAAGACGATAAAGAACTTCCCATAACTGCATCAACATATCCATCCTCAGTGTTTGCACAGTAGTATCAGTGCATATTTTGAGATACGAAAGATGGGGAAACAAACGCCAAAAAAGAAAAAACAAAAGTATACGGCGCCGAGATCTGATGGTATGCGAGAAACAAATTAGTAAAGGTTATTATCCAAACACCTACTTCTAAATTTCATTTGCAATGTTCGTTGGGATACGCTCATTGTCAAAACTAAAATTAAATTCTTTGCATAATTGTATTAACATATCCTTCTTAACCATGCCCTCGCTATTAGTGCTTTTTAAGACTATGTAAGCTTTCAGCTCGAAACAATAAACAAGAAAAAAGTTAAGGACAATGTTAAATATTTAAATAAAGATAGTGTTACGGATTTGGTATTTAAATATCTAATGTTAGTTGAATTGTAAATTAAATGTTTAATTCCCGCGCAGTGCAGCGCGTGACGAATATTAAAGGAAAGCTAAGCCGGAAAAATTAAAAATACAAGAGCGCGTGCATTTAACATTTAATAAATATCTCTTTTTGATTTCGAGTACTAAAAAATTCTCGCGCGCGATTTTAAAATCTTATAAAAGGAGGAAAACCTCTCAGTTCGTTGTTTAGAAAACTGCTCTTGTTGACTATAGTGGATTAGCTTTCCCTAGCTGTTTTGAATTAAGTTCTCTTGAACGTTTGAGTAGTTAAAAGGTAACTACTGTGAGATATTGTAATACTGCACGAATATTTTAGGAAATTTAAGCATTTTTGTTGATTTTGTCTAGTGCATTCATTTCGTAACGAACCCGTACGCACGCAACATTTTTTGGTGTCAGAAGTGGGATTTGAATGCCAATAACAAGAGCGATGGAAGAACAGTTCAGGCAGTTGATATCAGCCTTTGCCTCGTTTAAGGAAAAAAATGAAAGCGGGACAGGAAGAAATAAAAGCGGGACAGGAAGAAATGAAAGAATATGGAAGCTGACCAGGAAAGATAAAAGAATCTGTTAAAAACGAGATGAAAGCAGTTAACGAAAAGATGAAAGAATCTGTTAAAAAGGAGATCAAAGCAGGTCAAGAGGATATGAAAAGAGAAATAACCTGCGTAACAGAAAATAAATTCGAGGCTATAGAAGACAGAATAAAAACTGTCGAAAATAAAGTCGGACAAATTGAAAAGGTTTCTTCAAATAGAAGAGAGAGTATCGGCTGTGGAGCAAAGAGTCGAAGGAAGAGTTTCGCCCGTCCAGCAACAAATCGAACAACAAATTGAGGAAAGGGTTTCTGCTGCGGTTGCCAAAGAAGTGGATACTTTAAAGAAATTCGTAGCGACGGCAGGGAGCAATAGTGATGGTCTTAAATTCTTACCGATGCCTGCTCGTCCATCTCTGAAGCTATCCACATATGATGGGAAGACATCCTGGCAAGTGTATAAGACCCAATTTTCTATAGTTGCAGATGCGAATGGATGGTATTCCCAAGCTAAGGCCCGTCATCTCGCCGCTTCTCCGAGAGCAGACGCAGCGGATATCCTGCAGACACTTCCCGAAAATCAGAAACTAGATTTTGAAGCTCTACCTGGCGCATTGGAGCTGCGCTTCGGAGAAAAGTTTAAAAGACTACAGTAGACTTCAACTAAAATCCCGTCAGCAGAAGCCCACCGAAACACTTCAGGAGCTCGCCACAGATGTTGAAAGGCTGTCCCATCTCGCCTTTTCGGAGTGCCCGACAGAAACAAGGGAAATCCCGTCTCTGCAATACTTCATCGACGGCATCCGGGATCTTGAAATACAGAAAGCTATACGAATGGCGGATGTGAAGGACATAAAAAGTGCTGTTGTACGCCATGAAATTCGAGGCAGCCCAGCAAGCAACTCAGAGACCGCTACCCAGTGAGAGCTATGCAAGTCCACGAGCCAGTGGATCAACTGATGGCTCGTTTAGATGATTTAGCTAGAGACGTCAATGCTTTGATACGGAATAGGAGTGAGAACAAAGTGGCTCTAAGGTGTTGGAAATGTGGTATTGAAGGGCACATACGACGGCAATGCAGAACACCCCAAGGCACGGATGATAAAACGGATGTTTTGACAAGACCAGTGAATGCCTTGAGATTGAATATTGGTGAGAAGAGACCAACCCTAAAGTGCTGGAACTGCCGTGTTGAAAGTCACATACGACGGAACTGCAGAACACCCCAGAGCACAGAAAATAAGAGGCGGGTTAAATAGACAATTAAATGCCATGGGACAGAAAAGGCCTGACAACAAACTAAAGTGCTGGAACTGTGGAGCTGAAGGCCATGTACGAAAGAATTGCAGAACACCCCAGAGTACGAAAATTGAGATCATTTCTCAGCTACGACGAAAGAAACAAATTAATAACCATATCAAGGAACGATGGTTGCCAAATAATGAAACACCTTGTTTTAAAGCGCTAAAGATTTCTACAGTGAGTGGCAACAGTAAGGGACTGTCCATCAATAGGCATATCGATGGAGTTCCTTGCAATATGATCATTGACACAGGAGCTAATGTTACCATCATTAGGAAAGATTTAGCTGAACAGTTTAAAGATAAACTTATTTGGACGCCATCCTGTGTTACCCTTCAGACTGAGTCTGGTGACAAGATCGACATAGCTGGGAACTTAAACATCACGTTTGGAAGTGCCGCCTACCATCACACGGCATATGCGGCGGATATTACAGATCCATGCATACTCGGATTGGACTTTTTAAGGAAATATAATTTTTCCTTAGACTTCAAAAACAACAAACTGCTTTCAACATCTGAGGACCTGACGATCTACCGTCAGAAGGGATCCTCACCTGGAAACGCCGACGCCTTGTCTAAAAGACCCAGCTCAGAAAGCTGCCGAAATCATACTAGGGTCGGAGAGAAACATCAGACTACCAGTTATTCTCCATCCCAGATGCTCTTCAGTCGAGACCTTCGTCAGCAGCCTTGTGACCGCCTGTTTGGTCGCCGTACATCGCCTGAGGAACACATCCAAGATGTCCAGGCCTGTTTTGAAGTGATGCACCGTTCCGCACGAAAGCGAGTGAACTTGGCGACGGAGAAAGTGAAGACCAAATACAACACGAGAGCGGACATAGATTCAACAAAGGAGACAAGGTGTGGTTGTGGAACCCGGTTCGACGAAAAGGAGTCAGGCCTGAATTACAGTCACCTTGGGATGGTCCGCACACAGTCCTAAACAGGCTGAATGACGTCGTGGTTCGGATCAGTGAGTCTTCGAACTCTGAACCTGAAGTCGTTCTTTACGACAGGTTAGGTTAGCTCATTACTATGGCCATATAGTACGTAATGTAAATAGTGCAAGACCATGGTCCTTTTTGTTTCTAAATGTGTATTTAGTATTTGATTTGTTTTATTTATTGCATTTATTGTTCATGTTGCTTATTATTGTAATGTAATGCTTATTATTGCATTTATGCCACAGTTGTAAGTTTGGCTTCCTGTCCAGGGATTGTACTGCCCGGCACGTGCAATATTATAATAGTCGGAGGATTGTTTCTGTGCAGTATAAAATGTGAACTTAGTTGGTTGAAATTATGAAATTCCGAGAGCTTAAAATAGCAGGTTATCTTAGTCCTTAATCTCAAGGTCTGTTTCAGCTCATTTAATGTGCAGTAATTAACTTTCAGTGCCCGAAATCCAAGGTTTTAAAAATCTCTTCACAAAGGGAATACATTTTACATAGCTATCTTGGAGACTGAAAAGGATTTCTCATTTGAAGTTCTCAAATGGCCATTTTAAATTAGCGTATTCTTTACGAAAATGCACTGTTAATACGCGTGGAATTAGAGATGAAGTCAACCATTCTAAATTTGCTTCTGGGAATACACGCATATTTAAGTTGTTAATCTTGTTTACTCAAGTTCTGCAAAACAAAATGTTCTGGCTATAATATCTAAAGTGCATTTTCGTTTTGCATTTACACAGAAAAATGAAAATTTGTTTTGCATTTACACAGAAAAATGCATTTTCGTTTTGCATTTACACAGAAAAATGAAAATGCGAGAAAAATTGATCAATGTTAGAATATAAATGATATTCACTTTTACTTTCAGAACGACTTTGCCCACCATATGCACAACTTCACGGAATTGCTCTGGTAAATTCGGCAAAATTTTGCATTCAAGCTGATGGTCTGCAAAGGCCTCTTCCTAAATAAATGAAATATATGTAGTAATTATAAATAATTAAGTACTTTAAAGATTAAAGTAAATTATAATTAATGTATTTTATTATCAGCCATATACTTTTAAAGTGCAAGAAACAGTTGTGTTTTAAAAGATGACAGTGAATAAAATTTGATAACTGTACAGTAGTTGTAACATTAATAATAATTGCACCGATATGTAGTAAAGCATAATTCAGCGATTCGTTCCGCTAGAAAAACTTGCTTATTCAAATCAGAAATAAGTAACGGATCTTCGTTACTCCGGATGTAGAAGCACTTTTCGAAATGAAAGACCCACAGTCAGCGAGCGAATAAAATTGTTGAACAATGGTTATTCGACCCAGGCTCATACCTGCAAAAAGGGAATATTCGTGGTTTTCACCATACGTATCGTAAATACGAACCAGTTTCCCCTAAGTTACTTACGAAGGCATTCTTCTTCTCAAGCAAACAGGCTTTGGGTGTTTTGCATCAGTTAACTCATAGTAAAAGTTCTCCAGGTTGGATCTCAGTATAGTTTCCTCAAAGAGGGAAATTCGAAATGCTCACACTTTTGAAGTTGCGGACGCCTTAATAACAAGTTTTTCAAATGTCATGCATTCTACCAAAGTTCCATTCAGAATTTCCTCACAAGATGGCAGTGCCTCTAAAATCCTTTGCAGATGATGAAGTTTTATTTTTGGTAAAGGTTGGGGGAGTAGAGTATCACATGGAGGTAAGAAAGGACTCCCTACCTCCATGAAGTAACCATTACGACTGAATCTTACCCCTCACTCGTCAACTTGCCTTTCAGAGCTCCTCCTGTTACACTGCCTTAAGAAATTCTCTTATTAGTAAGAGATGCGCGTGATCTGAAGCAAGAATATATCATTCTTTGTCCGCAGTGGGGTGCTTTTTATTCACTTCTTTCTCTTAAATACTTAGCTGCATCTTCATAAATTACTACCTACTCGTAGTAAGTTTTTCTGTTTGGATATCATGTAATTTTTATTAAAGCAAAGAATTCCGTTAGCAAATTCAACCTAGCCCTTGGCCCGAATCATAACCCCCTTGAATTTCCCTTCAGTTTCTTTAAAGAATTGTAAAAAAGGTTCTAGCTTACGCAACTGAAGATCAAGTAGAATTTAGGAGACCTCACATTATTTCTGCCGCTATGCTCCCACTCATGTTTCTGGATATCACACTATTAGAAAACACGCGTGCAGCTAATTAAACACGTGTGTTAAACAGTTAAGTGAAATTTGAGGACTACTTATGTCCATTCAATACCAGGGTTTCAAAATTTCATTTTATGCAACATGCACCCCTTTGTATATTGCGCAAGTTTCTCACAGGCCGTATTTGTCAGTCCGGAGAACTTTGCTATCGGCATGAATGGTTTTAATGCAAATAGAACTAATTTTCCTTAGTAGTCTCTACAACGGCATCCTTCCTTTAAGAAACTAGCCATGATGTTGACTACTTTAATGAATCCTCTTCGTTTAAGAAGTAAATCATAAAGATTATAATTAAATACTGAATGTTTAAGATGTTTTATTTCACTTGAATATGAAAACATCGCGTAAGTGCCATCAGTCTCGGGGAAGAAATGCTTCTCTGAACATTTTCAAGGGAAACCTGTCCTTGGTTCCGGTTACGCAGGCAGAAAGCCATAGAGACGCTCAGGCAAAGTGTTCTTTACCCGGAATTCCATCTCGAGCTGAAATACTAATGTCCAGTGTCATACCTACTGGACTTGCGGGGCTGCTGTTCAAGAAATTTTATAATTACAATAGCTTCAATGTCAATATTTAATTTCAGATATACATATTGGACCCAATTACAGTGAAACCTTTGACGAAGCTACCTCTCAAAGAAACTAGAATATATTGATATCGTAAATGATCGCCGATGATCCTGTTCTTATGATCACCTATGTGAAGCACTAACAACTGAGCTCACTGGTTGCGTCTGAAGTTAATTTTCGAAAATCAGTTTTCGTTTTCAATGAAAATCTGTTTTAAAGTTCGAAAAATAGATTAATAAATAGGCTACTTTTCCGTTTCGCCGGCGCAAACTTGCCAAGCACACTTTGTTGGCGACAGCATACGCATAAAAAATGTTTGTCTTCAAAATAAAAAATTCTTAGAACTAACATTTTAATATGGTTTAAAATTTTTTAAAAGCCAATAAATAAAGACAATAAATTTGTAAAAAGACATTAATTTAAGAATTTACTATGCTTTTATGGTTTAACATCCTGATTCGCCGGTTCGTATCACGTAACCCTAATCTACGCTACAAAAAATCTAATTTTCTCAGTAATTAGCTATATTAATTTCAAGTTAAATCTTAAATCTCATGGAATACAAGTTTAAATACAAGAATTATTTCAATTCGTACGAATAGCTTACTCAGAAATTATGTAAAACCGCAGTACTTTACTTCACTAGTGCATTCTCATGAGATTTAATGAATTCAAATCTTGATTTTGCCTTTTCTATATTTTCGCCTTCGTGTGAGTGGTGTGATTGCATCCTAATTAATTACCGCGAATGGTCTTGGGGCATAAAACTTAACCATCTTGTAAAATTCGTGTAAAATTTCTACGTAATTGTATGCCAGTATTGAAAGAAACAATCTAATAAAAAATGGCTGCGATTTGTTTTGAAAATGAATTGTAAAAGATTGGCGACTTTATCGTTTGCGCCGGCAAAACGGAAAAGTACCGTTAATACTTTCCCATAATTTTAAATTTAAATAAAATTGAGAGTTTACTTTTCAAAATTTCGCGAAGTTCACTTAACCATAGCTTTTACATCACACTACTAAAATAAAATCCATATATCAATACATTTCATTTTAAATTCGTTTTGTTATCAAAATATAAAGTTATCGAGTTTTCTAATTTGATGAAAGTCAATTTTCTGTGTCAACTCCCACAGTTGCTTTGCTACAAAACGATATTCCGTTACTAATGTTGTTGACATAAATGCGCATGCCAGGAGCCAGCTCCAACATAGGCAACTACCTAGGCTACCGGTTTTATACGGCGTCAGCTGAATTTTCACAAGAAAACTAAATAAAAGTTCGCTTCGAGTTATCTTAATTCGTACAAGTCTAGAAGAGGTTATTTGAATGACAAAAGCATACAGAAGCTAACTGCTTAAGAGCACGTATAACTTTGTGAAGGACTTATGAAAACTGGATCGTATTCATGTTACACATGGGGAAAACCAACCATACAGCTAACCCGTTCGCCTGGGACCGAACTCAGGTCTAATTTCCGTATTCAATGGTCTTGGTGGCCTTGATGGTATTCAATGGTCTTAACTACTCGGCCTACTTGAGCTTTAATTCTTACAAATAGCAGTCATACTGATCGCCTAGGGAGTCAGAAAAGCTGAAGCTGGACTTGATAGGACAAATTTGGTATTAGCAGTATGCATCTACGACTTGTTCATTTTAAAGTTTTGAGCAATGTATTCCACTAGCAACAGATACGTACTCCATTCAACGCACCCTGATGTACTGTTTAATTTAGATGAACACACAACGTTGGCAAAGGTATTTGCGAGAAAGGAACTAACGTTTTACGATATGGCCAAGGTACGGAATAACATCAGAAGCTGTGAATTGCTACTCTGTTCAAGAAGCACCAGAAAATTCGGAGTACCATGTTAGATGTCCGACTGATGTAAATAAGTGATGAATTCTCCGATTTCTGGATATTATTCAGAGGCTAATCGGCAGATATTTTCAGTCATTGTGCAACATAAGAAAATGCCTAAAGTTCTAGATCAAGAGATCTTGGGCAAAAGTTTTAAGTGCCACACATTCCTTGAAAGCTATACCTAAAAATTTTTAAAAAACGGTAAGCAATTTCTGGTAGCTTATAGTATTGTTACGGTTTTTTGTATTGATTTAGTTATTTTTAAATAGAATTAAAATTGTTTTATATTACCATGCAATGCAGCACGAAACTTATTTGAAGAGAAAGCTACGCCGGAAAAATTAACAACACAGGAGCGCGCGCATTTAATAAATAGATATCTCGTAAATGTACGCTTTTGCTTTCCGGAAAAATAGAGGAAATGCGAAAATTTTCTCGTGCATTTAAAAAGCTTATAAAAGCTGGAAGAAAACATCTCAATTCAGTTGTTTACTGTAGCGAATTCGCGGTGAAATCAGATTAGCTTTCCCTGTTTTGAATTAAGTTCTGTTAAACGTTTTATTAGTTTAAAAGATACTACTGTGAGATATTGGGATATTGTACGAATACCTCTAAGGAAATTTAAGCATTTTGTTTTTATTTGTGATAAGAATAAATTTTATTCACTTTTCATCGGACTTGTGCATTCAATTTATTACGAACCCGTATGCACGCAACAGTATAATACAATATTTTAGACGTAATTTTCAAATTTTTAAACTGCTCCTGTACAAAGTATTTGCATTCAACAAGAGCTTACCTAATATAGTATTTACAAACATGGGCAGCAGTTATAACGATCTTCGAAGGTTATAGTATACCTTCACAATAGAGATCCAAGTCTCCATATTGCGAAATGATTATATATTCTTACTCATCTGCTCATCGAAACCGCTCTAAACATGGAGCTAAAAATTGGCAACTGCTTGCACGAAGATTTGGATAGTATACATTTATAAAAAAACTCGCCAGAACTATTCATCCAAAAGAAAGAACGTCATCTTGGAGGAGATTCTGTGAAAAACTAGCTTGTTTTGGATAAATCTTATCTGTAACACAGCAGATGGAAAAGTCCCAACAGTCGCCACATCACTACTTAATTCGTAGGCAGAAGACTAAATGCCAGTGTACCGTAACATTAGCATATGAACACTACTCGGCCATTGACGAAAATCGCGTTGCATTGGGCATTTCATTACACTGGCAGTTACCCTCAGAAATAAATGCGCGACTATTTTCAGCGTTTGATATGATACTAAACTGTAGATTTCTTTCACTACATGCTTTAGACATACTTTTTACAATGAAATTGCAAAACACAGAAGACGTGAACATGTATGGATAAAACTGAGCACATAAATAGGAATATTAAAAGAATTTACCTTGACTGTTCGTATGAATTCAAACGTATGTACTATTGATAAAACGGGAATACAATGTAAAGCGATCACATTGTCTTTGCCTCACCGTGAACAGATTCAAGCAACTATATTGTCGCTTTTTTTTTGATTGATTATTGGAAAATACGCAACGGTCTTAAAAGATATGTATTCACGGGGTTCTTTCTAAAGCTGCCACTAAAGCACGTTGATTTCCGCACAAAGAAACAAAATTCCCGAAATCTACGAAACCCATTCACTAAAACTGGAACTTTATTAAATTACCAGTGTTCAAGTGTGTTTTTGCATTCGATCGCCATTGAGTGCGACAGGAACCAGAATCTAGGAATATAGACCTGAAAAATACAAAGTACGTTGTCTTGCTTTTTAAAGTGTTTTGAATTGGGTACATTCAGCTGGTGTTATACAACGCTGATCTCCCTGCATTTTGCTTGAAATAAACGTAACGATCTTACTAACGAAACAAGGTTTCGACATTCTAGAAATTTTCTGAACGAATATGAATAGGATTTTTACCTTCCTGAAAAATGGCGGGCTATCCATTCGAGTCCATAGCAAATTTAGGTGAGCAACGTCTGACGCATGGCACTAGTTACAAGATATACTTTTCTTGCAACTGTCAGTCCAAGTCGTCTGACATCATGTGCAGTATACCACATATGATACATGAGTGACGGGAGCGGAGAAACGGTCACTAAAGACATCCAGATCCATGTTATCAGGCTGATGCACCAGGATACAGATCCGTTCCAGACAGAAACTGGACTCATCGACAGCAACAGCGGTACATTCGGCTACTCCAGTTCCTTTGACTTCGGCTCTAAATTATAACAGTTTTCAATTATTTTAATTCAACAGCTGTCGGCATAAGGTCATGCTCAGATGTACCTAATGCAATCTTTCTGGTTGACGTGGCAATGACCAAGGGCGATGACTCTTTCGAATATCCTCTATTTCTTTTCGATGTCTATATTTAGGCTAAGGTGATTTCTTCATTAAGATGTGCTGTAGGTCAGGCTGCATCATTCCTTTTGCCTGGGTTCAAATCAAACTCCAACTACCAGCATTTAGTGGCCTTAATCACTCTGTCATCAGCATAAGAACCTTCACTTATCAACTAATATCAATACATTCAAAAGATTGTGCCCTCACATTCAGAAATAAGATAAGCAAACCATTTTGGGTCGTACAAAATTCTGCTTCTGCGAAAAGCATCAAATGTCAAACTTGCATATGACGTTTACGAAGATTTTTGTCCCTCACCTGAATATATTTCAAGCATATGCAAGAACGAACATGCAGAAGATTGTTTACATGCGAGTACACTTTAATACTTCGTGTCTTAAGTTTTTCATCGATCAACCTTCGACTTTCATCGAGTTATTTGTAGATATCCATTGTTATGCATATGCTGAGATTTCCACGATTCTACCACATATTTTAAACAGTAGTTTCAATTTCGGGCAATGTGTATTTGACTAATTTGCGTGAATTTTACCGAACACTAGGCAGTTCTAAATAACTTCTGTACATTTTTTTAGATTGCATCAAAAATGTTGAATCAGTACTTTCCGTTTTTAGCTTAATTATAAAGGCATATTGCTGTTTTATATTACCAAGAATGCGACTTTAGAAGATGAAACTTATTTTAATAATAATTGCGCAAGATTATGAAGTACTCAAACTGAAAGAATTTCTTGGTTAGCTTAATTATGCCAGCGTACGAGGTGTATATACCTACGCAGAGGAATGCCTTTATTTAGGAAGAAGCGCAAGAAATTTTTTTCTGACACGTGTTTGGATTTTACAAGTGGACAATCTGCAATATTAAAGTAGGAACTCTTCAACCGGAGGGAAATGGAAGTACGCTGAATTAACTGGTTTTCATTAGCTTTAAGCATTTACTCTTTTGGGCTTACTAAAGGTTGGTGTGTTGGTGTATTTAATTATGGCAAAGCACACGAGGGCTATCTGCCTAAGGGGAGGGATGCCTTCGTGGAGGACTTTCTAAGGGAAACTGGCTCGTATACACGTTACACATGGGGAAAAACCACGAAAACGCCCATGCAGCCAGCCCGTTCGCGGGATTCGAACCTCGGACCGAACTACCAGTGTTCAGCGACTTTACCGCTCGGCCGCTGGTGGGCCCCTTACTAAAGGAATTGCTGGGCAGGAGAGATGGAAATGTAGGCATGCAGTTTTCTGTTGGATACTTACCTGCTTTCACAAGAATACATATGTAATGTAGAAAACCGAAATGCTAAATATGCATCTGCCATATTAGGTAAAGTAAATGCAATAAAAATGTAAACACAAAACAATTTAAAACAGTATAATTAAATTTTACCTGACATTCTTTTCCACAATATCTGGTGAATTTGCAGGTTGGGCAGAGAATCATTGAATCATCAGGTCTAAAAGAAAAATATGAAATAAATCGATCTGTTAATGCTGATGATTACAAAGTGAATTGATACAATACTATGCAGTAAGCTAAGGCTAGTTGAAATTTTATTCTAACTTTTTTGTTATAAACATTAGGATATACAAAGTTTTAACTCCCGAATATACTGAGAAAAGTTTTTAATGAAGTCTCAGCAGCTTGCCCATCTAGTGAAAATATTGTAACAATGCTTCCTCCTTCAAAGATTCACATCGAAGAACGTACAAAGTTTATGAATAAAATTAAATACGTCCTCTGATGGCATTACTTTACAAAACTCTATCTTTGAATAAACCAAGAATCTCTGACTTACAAAGAGATTTGCTGTAAATACTAGTCTATGCAACAATGAATAAATACGAAGTTTTCAACACAATGTCGCTTAGTGAATCAACTTGTTCCTAAACCAGTGCAATTAATAACTATACATCTCATTTGCAAGTGATGTATATTTTATCATATGTTTAAAGTATAAATTTAATAGTTTGGCTTATGCGATTTTGGTAAAGCCTCGAAGGCTATCTGCCTAAAGGTTTATGCGATTACGGTAATGTCCACTTGCTTAAAAGAGAGATACCTTTGTGGAGGGCATTCTAGGGCAAACTGGCTCGTATACACGTACGCATGCAGAAAACCACGAAAACGCCAGCGCTGCCAGCCAGTTCGGGGGATTCGATCCTCGGACCCAACTACCAGTGTCCAGCGATCAGCGATTTTACCGCACGGCCAATGGTCTGCCAATGTAAATTTAATAATAAACACACTATGCTCAAACCAGCGACATTTTTGATTCAATAAGCCTATTTATCTGAATTTCTATACGCCATTTCGAGTAAATTGTTAGGCCTATGATCGTACAGTTAAATGCATTTCGTATAATACATATGTAACGTGACTAAGAGCCGGTTTCTATTAAAATGGTCTTCCATGAAAGCATCTCTTTCTTGGCAATAGAACTTAACGTTCTTTCACAGTAGGCGACGCTTAATGTGATCACATCTGCAACATTAAACGATGGGAAAAAATATCTTTCAAAACAGAAATGAAATGTAACTAATTTAAATACAAGAAACATGAACTTTCACAGAATTTTAATTAAGAAATGTAAAAACTTTGTTTATAGTCTCTTTATATTATCCAACTATCTAACTCTTTATAATTTCCCAACATTTCCAGATATAATTTTGACCATTGATATGTACTTAATCTTAAAATGCGGAGGGCATTCCTCATTCACTGGAAGGTTAGGTTAATTACAGCAAAGCACACTAGGGCTATCTGCCTAAGGGGAAGGATGCCTTTGTGGAGGACTTTCTAAGGGAAACTGACTCTTATACACGTTACACATGGAGAAAACCATGAAAACGCCCATGCAGCCAGCCCGTTCGCGGGATTCGAACCTCGGACCGAACTACCAGTGTTCAGCGACTTTACCGCTCGGCCGCTGGTGGGCTCATTCACTGGAAGAAAACAAAATTTAGAAACAGGCAAACAAAAGAACAACCTTACACATAGATATTCAGCTTTTTTTTTAAGGAGGAGGGGGGGAAGTCATGTAGACACTTACTTTGGCCTGAAGAAGGACCCGTGTCTGATCCTCGAAATTGGAAGAATTGTCCAAAATCTAAGCCAAACTGAGATTTCTTTTCTGCCTAATTGTAGATGATTAACCAAAATTCACAACAAGCTGTTTGGTGATAGAATTCCTTACTTAGTCCCATTTTTCTGATACTTGGCAATTTTTATAATCTATTCTAACCTAATTTGGTGATTTTCCTTCAGTTAAAATAATTATTCGATAATGTTTTGATATATTAACCGAACTGTTGATCACAGTAATCAGTGTATTTTCAACATTCTTGTATACAAACGGGTAAGTCTTCGGCAATTCGATACATATCCGAATGAAAGATTAACTGCGATCACTTTAAGTGGCGTCTACTGCAATTAAAATATCACCCAATTCTACAAAAGGGGTTTCTTCTAACGACATTCAAGAGGAAGTTCCAGACCAAAATATTAATTTGAAATCCTTACACTAATAAATTATACGCGAAGATTGCATTCATTTTAAAATATTTCCACATTTAACTTCAACATAAACTGTGGGAACATTCTAAATACTATGTGAACCAAAACGTCATGAATTCAGTGATATAGATTTTTTGGATTGAATTATCTAACTAAAGAAACTATGGATTCGTAGGGCACGTTCAAAAGAAAATGATTCGTTACACAGAGAAAACCCACAAAACCGCCCGTGCAGTCAAGACCGTATATAACTAGCAGTATTCAGCGGTTTTAGCCGCTGGTGGGCCTGAATTTACAAACACGACACTTAGGAAAGCATATACTTTACTCAAATGGGCAAATATATGCACCACAATATAGCAGGCAAGATAACACTAAAGGCCTTTGAGAAAGTGGATGGCAAATGTGCAGAAAGGGGGAAACTGCTTCTGAAAAGACAACCGATTAAATGAGAGTTCAAAAGATTATCTTTGAAGAAGTCGGTAGCGTGGGGTCTCAATGCATAGTATATTTCTAAAATTTAGTAGACCAAATTGTTCAGAAAAATTGGCAGTGCTGGAATTAGTGCACTATTGAAGAAATTAACAGTTAATTTTGTGTAAATACTCGCTCTATTTCAATGCCCATCTCCCTATGAATCATATCACGAAGAAACCATGGAGCATTGCAAATTATATTTAAGATTTCATTCTGGAATGTCTGAATGTTCTTGATATTAATAGACTCTGTGTATGACGCCGGCGCAGAGTACGTAAATATGGGGCAAATCGGAAAAATATAACCTCGGATATCCAGCATTGAATAGCGCGATAGCAAAGTAAGGTGACACATTGTTTCGATGCTGAGTTGGAAGATGGGCTTTGTTCCAGGACAGACTGCAACACAGCGACTCCAAACAATCAGCAGTTCTAACCTTGGGAATATTTTAACAAAAGAGCAAGTACCGTGTACACACTACGTTTATGGTATCGCGTAACGAGAAGTTTGGATTTGTCAGCAGTGATCGAAGTCCTTCAAAATCTATGGACTTTTATCTTTCATTTCACGTAGAGCTCGATTCTTGGCAGAATGAATAATGATCACCTTACCATAGGGCTAGCAAGCGATTACGCAGTTATCGTTCTTAAAAATTGGGCTGTTGTAATGATCTGAGTGACTAAATTACATCACTGTAGATAGCTTTTATGGAAGCCGTATTGCTAATTAGATAAAAGCCAAAATAAGGGTAAGCGAGGCATACAACGTTTAAGAAACTTTCCATGGTGAGAAGGCTCAGTGGACGAAAAGGTTTCAAAAATTAGTGATCCTTGTTCGGTTTGGGAATGGAACAATATTTGGTACTTTTCCGTTTTGCCGGCGCAGGCGATCAAGTCGCCAGCAATGGTACAATTGATGTCAAACGGAATATCCTCGCTGGTAACCTTTTACGCCTCATTTTCAAAACAAGTAGCAGCCATTTCTTATACGATTGATTGTTTCTTTCAATACTGGCATACAATTACATAGAATTTTTATCCAGATGGTTCAATTTTATGCCCCAAGGCCATTCGCGGTAATTAAGTCAATTAGGATGCAATCGCACCGCTCACCCGAGGGCAAAAATATAGAAAAGGCAAAGTCAAGGGTTAAACTCATCAATTCTAATGAGAATGCACTAACGAAGTAAAGCACTGGTTTTGCATAATTTCTGAGTAAGCTATACGAATTAAAATAATTATTGCATTTAAACTTTTATTCCAAATTAAGATTTAATTTGAAATTAATGTAGATAATTACCGAGAGAATTGGATTTTTGTAGCGTAGTGTACGTGATACGAGATCACTTGGGGTCACGTGATATGAACCGGCGAATCAGGATGTTGAACCGTGAAAGCATAGTAAATTCTTAATGTCTTTTTTACAAATTTATTGTATTTATTGGCTTGTTACAAAATTTTACACGATATTAAAATCGTTTATGCCTTCAAAATAAACTAACATTTTTTATGTGTATACCGCGTGTTGTCGCCAATAAAGTCTGCTTGGCGAAATTTGCGCCGGCGAAACGGAAAAGTACTCAGTATTTTAATATCTCCATTGCTTTGGAAAATAAGAGAAAAACATGCACTGTAGACAGAAGTTTTACAGTAGATTACCTTGTCAAAATTTTCCGAGCCTGAAGATTTCTTATTTTTAATTCTTAATGATGTTGCTTACTTCCTCAGGAATGATAAATTTAGTCAGTGGAGATAACTACAAAAGAGTTAAGCGAGTTATTAACAATGAAATTAACTTTTGAAGGCGCGCTATTAAAGAGGGACTTTAAACCGATTTGAAGGCATGTCGCATGGCGTGTCATTTGGTTAGGTTATTTAATTACGGCAAAGCCTCGACGGCTGTCTGCCTAAGGGGAGGGATGCCTTCGTGGAGGGCTTTCTAAGGAAAACTGGCTCGTATACACGTTACACATGCGGAAAAACCCCGAAAACACCCATGCAGCCAGCCCGTTCGCGGGATTCGAACCTCGGACCAAACTACCAGTGTTCAACGACTTTAGGCGTATCATTTGGAAAAACAGAAAATGTTGAGCAAGACATTCTCCATTGTAAACGTATCCAGAGCTAGTATTTGTTGGAAGTTTTCTGAAGATTTCATTTCTTTAATAGAAATCAAAGAGCCATTTTTGAGTTAAATTTTGAGGAACAATTACTAATTTTACTTCTTAAATATTCAACAAAATAGAGAAAAGCAGAATTCAGAAAGGAAATTTATAAATTTTTTAGGCTACAAGTTTTGTGGTTTGTTGGATTATTTCAAAGCACGCGAGGGCTAAGGCAAGGTGGAGGATTTTTTTAAGGGAACTGGCTGATATCCACGTTACATACACGTGAGGAAAACGCCCATGCAGCCAGTTAATTCGTTTCGAATTGAACGACCTGGAACTAATATTGTTCCGCGACT